ATCCTTGATTACATTATTCATCGGAAGAATAACTGAAGAAGAGCTGATGATTTGAAAGGGAATCTGTACTTCAAGGCCCAGCGTGATCAGTGAACCAGGTGCATCCGTGTTAACTTGAATCGCGCGGGTAACATAAACCATAGCGTAGCCTCCAGGGACATGCCCATTTCAATCAAAGCGGTCAGTATGAGTTCAGAGTTATCGTGCAGAGGGCCATCGACCTTCAATGTGCTGGTTAAGCGACAGTATCAAGCCGACTATTTTATATGGCGAAAGTCGATGCGTCATTCTTCGATTACGGCTACACATAATCACAAGTACAAATTGAAACGTCGAGCATTTATAATGTAGTCAAGGTTTGCTTGTCGATGCCGTTTAACCCGTACCTCCTGGCATACTGGAGGTCGATAACTATCGGCATAAGAACTCTGAACTCACACTGCCGAAAAACCAGGAGGTCGAGGCCTTTGTTGCTTATATCATGTAGTGATCGACATCTAATTGTTGGGATCTGTCCAGCTCACAAGCCGCATTTATCAATAGACGTTTTGTTCGTCGTTTGAGCTTATGTCGTAAAGATCAAATAGTCGGCCATTGCTTTCTAATTTCCACCACTCTCCGCGAGCATGGGTTTTCGGTTCCCCGCGGGGGTCCAACGGCAAGATGAACGAGTGTGATAGCGAAGCTCTTAGCGCATTTCCCACGCTCATTTCGTTCGCACCATTGGGCACTGCATCAGATGTACGTTTAAGATGGATGGCGAGATATAGAGCAGTTCTGCGCTTTTGGTCATCACCAGTCTCATCAAACTTGTATGGTTTGTCTACGACATTTCCACATCAGGAACTTACAGTTGTGTAATTGCCCCGTCCATCCCGACAGGCATGGAGAAGGGTGGACACACGCGACAGCAACGCCGTCAAAGATGTGCAAAGGGTCCCAGGTCGAAAACAAGTCAGCTCCATGTGAGTACTTTTGTGGCGATCCACGATCCACTGATTTGGTTGTTGGTCCGAAGACCAAATTCTCCTGCAATAGGAAGTTGTTTTGCTGTTTGAAGTGCTTTCCAGCAGATGTTCTCGCGATTTGGGCACCAACAGCCGTCAGGGTATCTCTAGAAAGCCAAAACTGCATATATGGGAGCATCCACATCGAGGACGACGGAAACGAGGCGAGAAAAGTGTCATTCCTGTTATCTTGCCACACACCCCACAGCCCTGGAAAAACCCGCACCAAAATGGTCACCGTACCATCGTCATGGACCTTGAAAAGAGGTGATCAATGGCAAATCATGTCAGTGCTCCGAGAGAAGATTCATGGAGTCCCAAAATTCGCAGCTGGGTGGTCTTTCCATCATTTTGTCAATGAAAGCACACCATTTGGCAATGCATGCACTCGCAACCAAAGCATGCATCCGTCGTGGTCAACTGAAGTACACATGCGGTCCTACCCATGCGGCTGGTAACGCCCAACCGGATATCGGGGGGGGGGGGGGGGGCGTGGAGAAGCCGGGCGGCGCTCCGACTCCTCCCTCGCACGCCCCGCCCCGCTCGTCCGTATATAACGCGAGGTCGCGGTCTGGACGACACACACTCATCCGTCGTCCGCTCTCAATCGCCATCATGCTCAAGCTGGTGAGTGAGATACAGGGCGTGACCGCCACCAGAAGCAGGGACGGATAGGGCGGCATTTCGTGAAGAGACGAGATCCGTTTAAGCAGGCAAATTTTCAATAGAGTGCTACTTGCATTTAATCCAGCACAAATAGAATACATTTGGGAGTTTGAGTACCTTATCATTAAGCCATGGTTTTATGCAGCCTCCCCCCCCCCCTTGACTCTCCTCACTTGAACCAATGGATATCTGTCATCTGTATTGAGCTGTTCCCAAGGACCAGCAATACTCTTGGGGGTGATAAGCATGTAACTAGAAAAAAAACAAGCAGATATGCTAGCGTCTACATAACACAAGGGAGTGTGACACCCATGTTCACTGTGTGTACTATTCTCAGGTCCTGTTCGTCTGCCTTCTGGTGTGCAGCTGCTCTGCCCTGCTGCCCCTGGGACTCGGCTACTCGGGCTACGCCGCTCCTCTGGCCTACAACGCCGCCCCCCTGGCCTACAACGCCGCCCCTCTGGCGTACGGCGGCGCCTTCCCCACCTACCAGACCGTCAGCCACAGCGTCGACATCGCCGCCGAGCCGGTGGAACAGCACGGCTACGTTGTCAAGTACTAGGCGGATCTCACCACCTCTGCTCTACCTCTTTCCGTTGAAAAATCATCATCGGTCCGCGTGCTCAGATCAACCTTTACGACTTCAGGCTAAATTCGCCTGCCTCTGAAAAATACCCGGTCTGGACCCGTGAACATCATCGGTGCACATCCTGGCGTTCTGCGTGACAATTTCCGGACTTTTGATTTATCTCATTGAGTCGGAACTAGTAGAAGTATCAGCGCCGCATAAGGCGAGTGAACTCGGCAGTTTCGTATTTCATCATTGCTCATTACGTCAGATGTGATTGTGTGTTTTCATAAATAAACCGTATTAAGGAAAACGGATGAGCAGCAGCAAGCACGAGGGAAGCAACGGCAGCACATTTGAAGATGTGGATGCGAGGTCTTACATGAACCGAGGATTTTGACCATTTGATTAGACATGTCTAGCTGCAGACGGAAACTGAAGGTGGAAAGGCGACAAGGAAGCAAAGGAAAAACTCTGGATGTGTCGTCCCCACGGTCTCTTCAGGCGGACAGAGGAGAAGAAGGGTTTGCAAGATGGAAGATGCCTCAACACAACAGCTGGTGTCTGTGTTGCTGCGCTGGCATCTTTCACTATTGCTGTCCTTTCTGCCCTTCCTCGCACTGAAAATGGCATCCGGCCGAAAATTCGTGGTCTTTTCCTCTCAAACACAGTGAATCATGACAACACAGAACCGTCCCTACCGGTGGTTAGAGCGTTAGGGAAGCTGTCATCCGATCCACCCACTCGTGGTGGGGCAGGTTCGAATCGCTTCAGGCGCTCACTATCTGCTCTTAACAGACATGGCCTGTGGCCGGTTGCGGCGGCGGCGCTGATGGCCAGGTAACGTCAGAGGGCAGGACGGACTGTGCCGACCACTGCGTCAATGCATTAAAGGGAATGCTAGACATTTGTATGGTGTTTTGAACTGAAATAATCATCTCGAAGATCATCCGGTGCAGCTCACAGCCCTACCCTTCTTAATACCTAACACACCTCTAGGTTCTAAGGTCCACATCCGCGAAGATGGCAGACTTTTCGGGGTGAATGTTTGAAGGTCACTCAGGTATTCATGACGTCAAAACAACGCTATTAAAATCCCGCCATTCCATTACCCACGCGACGATTAATGACAAAAAAAGTTGTCGAGTCGTTCATATCTGGCATTTGGAAGCAGTATTTCCAGACATAACGGCCGTCAAATGGCTTTCAATCAGTGTTGTGCAGGGCGTGATTACGCAATCGAACAATAACATACTGAAAAGCAGATTTACTAACAGAGAAATTGTGTCGTCTGAAGTCTTTTCCACTACCAATGATTCGTACAAGTACTTCGTTCCAACCAATACAATACAATGGTTTGTACTGTTCGTACCAATAGGGCCAAAGTGTACTTGAGCACAAGTAGTACCAAAATGACCTTATTTCATCAGATTTGAGGCTTGCTTCAAAATCGTCAAATGTAGAACATTCCCTTTAAACTTTCGCCACCAAATTCTGCCGCTGGCCTGGAATTGGGCGATCGGATAGGAGAGGTCCGCGCTTACATAACAGCCACAGCTTGGTGTGGGATCTAAACACGTCTGTACACAAGACTTCTTCAGAATACTGAGCAAAATTCGCGAAAATGTTCTCATCTGCTTAAGGTCATTGATGCGACTCTTGGATATTTTATGACGCTTTAGACTGCCATAAGGGAAAAGATGAGCAGTATCAAACCTAATTAATGTTTCTTTTCGGTGCGTAAAACGACCCCTTTTTGGATGTCTTAACTAGCTTCTCGCTGGCATTATTAGACTAATTTATTTGCTGCCAAACTTGGCGCGCACGAAAGATAGGACAAAGAGGAGCAAAACCCATGTTTTCATCAGTTGGCTCTTCATGGCTGTAAAGGATTTCTCCATAGAAGTTTTCGTCTCATTAGCATGCACCTATTTGTCACTGTACGTTTGCAGCTCTTTGCGGATTCGGCCAGAGACCAGACGCGCGTCACATCACTATTGGGTTCGTAATAATGAAACAAGCCCGGTTCCTGTGTTAACTTTATTGCCTGCTTTGATAGATCCGACGACAAACGATGCGGTTTGATACTCCCCATTTTGCTACTCCTCACCCTCATTTCCGCCCTCATTTCATCTCACTCTGAGCTTAGCCTAAGTGATTTAATTGGCCGACTAACTGTTGCTCCCATAGGAATGCTGATATTGACTAACTCGCAAAAGAATGCACGTGATGCAAAGGCAAATGTTTCAAGTTGCAGGGGCGGAGCCTGGTGTGGACATATTGCGGACTACGTACCCGCTCCGCCCGCCCAGGAGGCCTACGATATTGTAGGCGGATGGACTTATGACCTCTGATCTGTTATGAGCCAGACCACGGGAATATATCTTGCAAAGCATAAGCCATACTTTGTTTTGACTACAACTATTCATCGGCAAAAGTTTGAGAATTCGGTCTGATTCATCCGACCAATTGCAAACGCAGTCCAATGACCAACTCAGCTTTTTAATCAATTTCAAGGCTGTTGCGATCAAATCTATTACATCGTATCCACTACGTTACAAAGCAACTTGTCACAAAAAGTCACATGCATCACGGTTTGGGTACAGCAGTTTCAAGGTTGGCGCTCACATCTTTACTAATTGTTTGGATCCACTACACTTTATCCACTTCTCATGGTCACCAACACTAACCCGTGCATTTTGAGCCAAGTTTGAATCCTTCTAGCCACACCGATAGATTTGCTACATATCTAAAGAGCTTTAGATCCGCCCGCCGGCGGCGTCCAGGCCCCAGAAGTCGGCCGCCTGGTGGCCGAACGCTGGGGCGTCGCCATGTGGTGATATTGCCCAAGAGCTTGCAGACACTGGGGCGTCACCAGGTGGTGATCACAGGCGGTGATGTTTTCCCAGAGAGCGCAGCCGCTGGGGCGTCACCAAGTGGTAATCTTGTCCCAGAGATCGCGCACGCTGAGCGGCCGAGCCGCCAGCCGTCGCTCCGGATGCAGGGCCGCCTCCAGCGCCGCGTCGAACACGGCCGCCACGCCGGCGCCCGTCACTGTGCTGCACTCGCGGTAGTCGGCGGCGCCGAGCCGGGCGGCGACGCGCCGGCCCCGCTCCGTCGGCACGGCCTCGCCGCGGCCGGCGGCGCTCGCCTGGATGGCGTCGCGCGCCTCGGCCTTGGTGCCGACCAGCAGGAACGGCGCGCGCGACGCGTACTGCTCCAGCTCGACGCGCCAGTCGGCCTCGAGACGTGGCCAGGCGGCCGGCTCGGTTAGGTCGGCACACAGCACCACTACGCCGGCGTCCCGGTAGGCAGAGTAGGCGGTGAGGCGCGAGCGCAGCTGCGTCGTGCCACCGGCCGTGTCCACCAGCTGCAGGTCATACGCCGTGTTCATGTGGTGCAGCGTCACGTGCACCATCTGGGGCAGGCTGCAGAGGCTCTCTGGCGGCAGCGATGGTCGCCGACCGTCGGCGAACGTGTGGAGTAGCGACGTCTTTCCGGCCCGGTCGTCGCCCACCAGGACACATTTGATGGTGGCGTCACCTGACATGCTCGACGGCTCGACTCCAGTGAGGCAAGGTTGAACTTTGTGAACGGTGGCACGCTGTGAGCGTGAGAAGGGGGTTCTTCCTTCCCTCCAAGAGCCGAGATCCAAGCTTTCAAGTCACGAGAAGTCCTTCCAGCCCAAGAAAGGCCCTTTCGACTCACCAGAAAAGACCCACACCACCTGTCGCCCTCGGCGGCCGCTCTCCTCGGTGAGCGGACCGGTTCCTGGTTTACGCGTCGCTGCAGTGGGCGTCTCCGGCTACTCGGGACGCCGCGTCGGCGGGGGTCGGCGGACTGCGGCGCCGTCCGGGACGCCGCGGTCTTACGCGTCTGGTTGCGGGAAGTCGGGCGATAAGCCGGGCAGTTCGCTGGCTGCTGATGACGTCAGCAGACTGTCGGCACGACCGCCGGCCCGACTACGGCGGCTGCTGGCCGCGGCGGAGCCAGCGCCGTGTCGAAGGGGGATGAACACACACCCGTCATCCCCATTCTCCCAAAATCAGAACAATTAAAACGACTCTTCTAAACCAAATGCCTCTACTTCTTTTCGTCGTTTTATTTCGAGGCTTTCTAAAGTAAGGGACTGTTGACCAGAACACCGGGTCTTCAAAGGTTTTGCCTCTTTGCCCCCTGACTACTTCACTGTCTGCAACGGTGCAAGGCAGCCACATTCTAGAAGCCGACTGATATGTGGCTCCGGAAGCGGGTGTGCTTATTGAGGCGTAATGAACACCCAACATCTTCTGTAGGACCTTTCCACGCCATTTCCAACTTAGTCTTCTTGGCGGCATGACAAAAAACCTGGTGCACCGTGTGCAGCTGACACACAATGTTCCTTCAACGAGCAGAGATAAAATATATTGAGGATGCCTTATTCATTTGGTGTTATTCCCGCACAAATTATTTTTGTCCAACTGTGTTCCATACGTGAATTTCTATTTCACAAAGAGCGCACTGTTCTCACAATTTAATGCGATCGAACACCAACATACGACATTCTGGCACGCGTAACACATCACTTACGTCGGGACAGGGCTTCATTGAATTTATTGGGGTCACAGGACGGAGACAACATTTTCCAGAATACTCTGGTGGCTGTTTCCGTTTTTTATGCCTTTGACGGCTTGTTGGGAGACTTTGGGTTCACATATGGGGACGCAAGACACATATGAGACGGTGGAGCAGTGTCATTCCGAAGATCTAGACCTTTGGACGCAACCTGGCCTAACCACCAAGGATATCACAGTACTTTTAACCGGTAATCTCACTCCGTTGGATGTCAGCCGCGGCCATATGCCTAGAGGCCACAGTGGCGTCGTGTGGTGGTCATGAGTAAAAGCGGCGTTATGCCATATTGTAGTGAATTAGCACGATCGGGCACAGTTTGCGGATTTACCCTATGCCAAATATTACTCCTTGGCTTCACGTGTGTTTTCCACTACGCAATGTTATGCGGTAATACAATTTAGTTTATCATTTAGTGCATCATAACAAAGGATGGACATCAGCTTAGCTGCACAACATAAACATCGAATCACATAAAAATCACAATATATTGGGAAAATACCGTTTACCATCGGACGGGACTAATCACGCGAAGTCGACTCATGCATAAAAAACCGGTGTTCACGCAACTTTTGGTTCGGAAAATTGCAGCTGGAAACAATACAGCTGCACTTTGCATGTACAACACCGGTAATTGCATTATGGAGGTATAAAAATTGCGCTAGAAGTTATGAATGTTGGCTACTTTTTATATGTTTGCGGCGTTACTTTTCTCTAAAATATTCTGCTGTACCTACGCTTGTGCCCATATGTCTCTAAGAGCTGCAAACTTAACTCCAGCACCAGGTGTAAATTGGAAAGGTGGCGACTCTTTCGCACAAGAAAATCACCACTTTCACAGCGCGAGCTTCTTACTTCCCGGGCACCTCTCGAAACAGGCGAATTGCATGACATCTGCACCTCAAGTGTATCGAAATAGAGTTCGTGAAAAAACATCAGGAACTCGCATGTTCGCTCTATAGCATGGAGGCATATCACCTAATGGATGAGCTGCAATCACCACAATGATCGAAGTTCCGGCCAACGGTAATCGTATGGTCAGTTCGTAGGGTGGATTGGAGGTAAATTTGGAGTTTGAGCAAGGCGGTAGCAGGGATGACCATTTGGAACTTTTCCGCTGTTCTTACTTGGTGTGGATGAAGATCATGGAAAAGGTAATTTTTGAACAAAACAAACACACACACACACACACGCACACATTATGTATGTGCGTGCGGGCGTGCGGGCGGGCGGGCGTGCGTGCGTGCGTGCTGCGTGCGTGTGTTTATCGACCCATATTAGTGGATGGACGGTAAACACATCGTGAGATGGGGGGAGATCCCACAGAGATGCAAAGCTCCATCCATCCAGCGAACGTCACTTTCGTTTGCGTTTCTCTCCCTGCGCTGGTGGCCGGGCGGCGGGTACACTCGCTGGCCGTCGCGGCTCAGTGGGACCGCAGTCAGTGGCGCTGCAGCTCGGGCCGGCCCAGGTCAGCGGCCGTCGGGGATCAGTCGGACCAGGTCAGCGGCGGCCGCGGCTCAGTCCCACCAGGTCAGCGGCGGTTGCGCCTCAGTCGCACCAGGTCAGCGGCTGCCGCGGCTCAGTCGCACCAGGCCAGCGGCCGTCGGGGATCAGTCGGACCAGGTCAGCGGCTGCCGCGGCTCAATTTGACCAGGTCAGCGGCGGCCGTAGCTCGGGCAGCTGGGTGATAAAGCGGGCGTGGCTGCCGTGGGCCGAGTCCGGCTGCGACGCCAGCTGACCGGCGAACAGCGTCAGGCCAGAGACGCGCTCCACATCCCGCAGCGTCGCCTCATGGAAGTTCACGTACTTGCCCGCCGCCTGCCGGCAGACCGACGACCAGTGGCGGACACGCCCCACAAGCGAGGCGCACGACAACTTTCGGAGCTGGTGGTGTCCACGACCAAGGTCAATACTACACCCGAAATGCCCTATCGCACAGCCGATAATTTCCTAAAAGGCTATTATGTATAATTATTGTTTATAACTTCTTAAGATATGAGATAATTTCTGAATAAAAGCGAAGTAAACATAGCGTGCCGCCGGCGGTATTCCCACCAGGTTGCAATGATAACCCCGTCCTAGCCGGTTGTGGTAATGCAAGAAATTGTAAAAACAAACTACAATCAGAAAGCTTATAACGAGTAGCTTTTGAAACGTGACGGCGAAAAGGACCACCCGGTCTCAAGAGACGGCGTGCAGCTTTGTTCCTGTTCAGTATTGCTCTGTTCTACAAAACGAAATCGCTTTCATTTTTCTGGCTATGGCTTGCTTCACAAATACGAGCTTACCCTCCGTACGCAAAAATATCAATGTCCCTTCTCATCACCAACCTCGTGATAAATTTCGTTGACTAATGTCAAAAAGTTTCGGCCAACCTCTTCAAGCCCTGCACAGTACTTCTGCAACTCAACAAATTAATCAAACAAACTAACGCAACTAATAGAAAGAAAGCAGCATCACATTTAGAGACAACAAACCAGAAAAAAATCAACTGGACCCTGTATCCTCCGATGTTGGAGCCGTGGCCAACGCCGAGCCTGTCTGTGTAACCTGGCGGGTTCTCGGTTTACCGAGTGCCGACCGGCGGCGGTCAGTCCGGGCTGCCGAGCCTGTCTGTATGACCTGGCGGGTTCTCGGTTCACCAAGCGCCCACCGGCGACGGTCAGTCCGGGCTGGCGTTTGCCACATGACATCACATCCCAGCGCCCACCTCGCACGGCCGGAAGCGCTCCTTGTGCGGCAGGATCCACTGCTTGTGGACAATCTCTTCCGGGCGGCAGCCGCGGCCCCCGCACATCCGCAGCTGGTAGAAGAAGTGGGATGGAATCGGCTGCCCGAATCTGCAGCGTGGTGGGCGTATCAGGTGGGCATCACGTGCGGAGTTGTACAGACGAGGACCTGAGTGACAGTGTGTGGACCGTTCTGAACAAAGCCGACACTGGTATCGTGGCGGCTACGGCGAAACACTTCATACAGCGCCCATAAAGTGTTGAGACTCCAGCATTCATGCATCAAGAGTCCAAGAAGAGCATCAGAGACATCAAAAACATCAAGAATCCCAGAGCAGCATCGAAGGCTCCGATGCATACGGGCGGTTCTTCACGCAAAGTCACGTAAACGCCTCATGAACCAGCCCGCTCGCATTCCATTGCGACTGCACGCGTCGGATTCATTGCTTTAAGCGCTAAGCATGTGGTAAGAGAGTGCACTAAAGGAACACATCACCGCCTTTTTACACACAACACACCACCATAGGCGGAGGAACATCTCAGACCACGGAGGTCCGAATACCAATCTTGAACCGCCCCTTTCAATACGTCGCCGTATTGTCAATAGCCGGGAAGTGGGGTGCTCTGGCCCTCACGCTTACCTTTCCCCGTCCCTACGCCTCTGTACATGGTGGTTTACGATGCGGGCAAATAGCTCGATGTTAGGCGGGAGGCTATCATTTACGGGATACTGCAGATACCTACAGATACAGGATAGGTCATCGGGTAGATCATTACCTACTTCTTATCACAATCAAATTGAACACGATGTTGCTGACCGCAGAACGGCAGTCCCAGTAAGTACTCATTGAATGTTATCACATTCAGCGATTCTCATGGCTCCTGGATAGCTTCGCCCTTTCACCACAGACGTGCAAGGATTTCCAAATAGGAGCCAGGGGAAAAGCTTGCCTAGTTTGATGGATAACACAGCATGGAACCCAAAATCGGTGTACTGTGTAAGCTGCTCAGCCACCCAGCGGCCGCTCCAGCCGCGGTCAGCGGGCTTCGACGCAGTGGGGCGGGCCCTCACCTGTCGAGAGCCTCCGAGCGGTACACGGGCCCGGCCAGCACGGCCACCAGTCCGTACCGCCGCGAGTACGTCTCCAGCCGGCGCAGCAGCTCGGGAAGCACACGCTCTTGGTAGGCTGGGTACATGGGGTACATGCTGGCAGCCAGCCGCCCCAGGTACGAGTCGGTGCCTGAAGCAGACGAGAGACGGCGCTCAAAACAAACTACGTGCGAGACCGATTCCCCACCAGGTTACGGAACCGATAACAGCACGTCGCAGGTTGCAGTTACTCATAATGAGCATAATCTGTGCCGAGTGATGGCCCCCGTTAGAGCGTCAGCCGTGATGGGGCCGGGTTTATATCCGCGTCTCGCCGCTCACCGCCCGTATGGGCCGGGCTTCTGTAGGCGGATCTGTGCCGAGTGATGCCTCCCGTTAGATCGTCAGCCATGATGGGGCCGGGTTTAGATCCGCATTTCGCCGCTCACCGCCCGTGTGGACCAGGCTTCTGTATGCGGAGTCAACTGAGCAGCCTTGCACGGGTCCCGGCCGGCCGCTGCTCTGGAACAGACACTGGCTGTCGGCGGCCGGCAGCGGCGGCATTGTCAGGCTGCCGTTGCTGTCCCGCTCCAGGTAGTACTGCAGCCAGCGGTACGACCGCGACGGCTTCGGCGACGGCTCTGGGGGCGGGGCAGTCGGACTTCAGTGGTGGTGTACAATGTCTTTACCCGAACAATCCCAGAAATGACGACTGTCTGAAACTGTTCTGGATATGAATGTCGCCTGCCGTAAATGAAGCACTCACCAGCTGCGAAGGATCCATCGACAGTTACATCCAGAAGAACGTCCCGCCCAGATACCGGCAGTGGCAACGTGCCGCTCACATTCTTGGTCCCCGCTAGCCATTCCTCCAAGGCCTGCGAAGGGTAAAATGGAAAAAGCGAGGGTATTAGTAGTGACCATAGTGAGGCACAAGCCGCTTCCATGAACGGCTCTACTCTTTGAACAAGGTTATCAACCGCAATTTTGGGTATTTAGTATGCTCGTCTCATTTTTCTGCAATGAGCATTGACAACCCCCAAAAATCAACATATTTTGTCTCTTCGTAAAAGTGTCGCTTGAAAAAAGTTTTGCTGTCAATGTGGAAGAACGCCACGTTTTTGCTGTAGCTCCGGCTCAAGGGCATAGTGCTTGGCCGGACTATGGTTATCAGACCTGGCAATTTGCTCACCTCTTCGCAACGTCGGCCATTGCTCACATGGGTGTAAGCGACGCTTTACATTGAGACGAAGGTGGCTATGCCATAAAGGAGCCATGTACACATTTCAAATTTGGTTACCCCAAGGAGCAATTCTGATCAGGATTATATTAATGCTGCGGAACGCATGCATCTACCCTCCTTATGCGTGTTCGAGCCATTGGTGTTTACGATGCAGGCAACTGCCATGGCCAAGGAAGGGCGGGCACTGTGGGGAACTGAACTCCGTTTCTCTGGTTTCCCAGGCACACAGCTTAACCACCACACCTTTGTCATCCCCTGTCGAGTCAAGAACACCATTCTAATCAGTAGTTAGACTGGCTGCCTGTCGCGACCTTTGCGTGCTGGTAACACACACGTAAGTGTAAAAAGTGTATTTCTGCTAGGCCATATTTATTGGCACTGGTATGAGCCGCCAGGGTGGGTGGCAGCTCACACTCACCGCTCCCCTGCCCCACCCCCCACGGAGGGTATCTCCGTAGGTTGTTGACAGGGTAATAGATTTAGGGTGGTTGGCGCCAACACCGACACCCAACTACCGTTGTGGCGCGTTCCCGGGACATACCACGACAGGCGGTCCCGCGGTCAAGACGGTCAGCAACTAAGATCCATGCTGTGGTGTCCAACAAGAGCATCCATAAGTGATGAGTTGAAAAAATACGTTAATATAAAAAACATTCAATAAATAAATGTGAGCAATTAGAGCTACACAGCCTGTCCTCAGCATCATACCTGTGCCAAATTCAGGTTACTTTAGTACCATTTCGCCACGATTTGGTGCGCCTTCGCGTTTTGCATAACATTTTCGGCAATCTAGTGACCGCTTACTAGTTTTGCCTTTCGTAAATGGGATAGGTAACGTATGTATAAGGCGCCAGTAAGCTCTATACACGCCTCTGGAGAGAAGACAGGAAAAAGGCTATGTCCATTTGGCGTTTGGAGCGCATTTACTCATAGCATACTTACTGCCTACCGTTCTTGACTGTCGTGCAGCGATCAAGCACGTGATCTCATCAGGACAGCATCAGACGGGCTTAGAGCAAAATTGTCTCGGAAAACTGCTGTGCTGGCCCAGAAGTCACATGACCCCTCAGCGCACGGCCATAGTACAGTGCATCGCATGAAGGCTGCTGTACCAGCGAAGGTTAGGGTTCCCTGCCGCACGTGGGCCTTGCTCACTTGACACCTGCAGTTGTCCAGCTCGGTGCAGCATGGGTTGGTCAGGGTCTGCTCCAGCGGCGGCGAGGCCGCGACCGGGGCAGGCCCAATCAGGGTCCGGTCAGAGGGTGGCGACACCAGCAGGTGGTCCAGACTGGAAACACGCCGACCATGCATGTAGTGAAAGGCACCATCATCAAGCCTGAGCACAGCGAGGTTACAGCGTACACTGTCGTTGACATGAACGCAGAGCTCGTCATGTCGTGCTTTCGTGAAGGCCGTGACGGCCGCGCAACAGTACGGTACCCATGGACCACATGACTAGCTCCAGTTCCGATGAGATAGATGACGTGAGGATCAGCCCCCGTCCCGTCCTGCTCCAGACGCCGGACATACCTCCGCACTTAAAAGACACCGGCCAGCATAAAGGATCTAGCACTTCTCCGCACTGCCTGGACTAAGGCTACCATTGCCGTGTCAGCGGCCGCGCACCTGTGTTTGGTTGCGTTGTTCTCAATGTCAGGCAGCCCGAGAAGTGTTTGAAACAGGCTGTACAGCTGAATGTTTTCGAAGGGATCAGCTGTGAAGTTGCGCTTGAAGGACGGTCCGTGGGCGACGAAGAAGCTCTAGAACAATCATAGCACAAAATTAGCATAGAATTACACTTATGCTATGATGCTTATGGCATGATATCATATTGTCTTTGGCTCCAATTGTTCTACGGTACGATTATATGCCTACGTCCCGATACAAATGATGTGCAAACGGCTGACTTAACTACAACCGGGCTGTCTGGTAAGCCAGGCAGCGACACAGGATAAGTCTACAAAACATGACTGAGGTACCATTCGAAGGCCTATCAATGAAAGTGATATTGTCAGCAAAAGCCTGATATATATGACAAAACAACAGGCACCACAAAACCCGTTACGCAGAACAAGATAACCCCGCGCCGGCATGGTTCACGACCATGCCACTTCTGCCACCGATCGAAGGTACCCTCATGTCCACCAAGTCGTTGTCGTAGCCGTGCATCCCACGTATGCAGAAGTCGGAGCTGGGCACCGACATGCCGTAGCCCTGGTCGACGGTGGCAATGATGGGCTCGATGCGGCTGCTCTGCTGGTAGTGCCAGCGCTCCGGAAGCTCGTCACGGTGGAGCACGCGCAGCGCCGGGTGCGCGCAATCCAGCTGCTCTACTAGGTCGTTAACTGCGGGGAACACCACACGAGAATGCTTAAAGTTAACATGACAGCATTGCAACGGCTACAGGGGCGGATCCAGGAGGCAACCTGGCCATTCTCCTCCCCCGCCCCTCTCCTCTAAGATGGGCCAAGCTGGCAAGGAATTAAGCTCAGGCATATTTCGTGACACAGCTATGGTGTACTCACCCCTCGCCCCACAGCATGTGACATTGGTCACAGCTCAAAGGGCGTATGCAGCAACCACAAATTTGCAGCAGTCCATGGGTATGCAGCATGAACTAGCTTTTATTACTTTTTCAACAGCAAACAAACACTGGGCTGGCTCTGAATCAGACCGGCCTAACCAACGACCGACCATCTGGCTGGCCCACCTGTCGACTGGTTATCTGGTCGGACACGCGTGACAGGTCCGTTAACGTAGGTAGAGTTCTTACTAAGTCCCGGCACATAATCATCCAGAATGACTGATTCGCAGTCCTCCCTGGAACAGAACACCTCGTGCCAATTATCGTGAGTTAATCTGGCATCCAGCGGAAAGAAGCCAAATCGTACTGAGATTCACACATACAATAAAAAACAAGTTCGATTATTTATATAAGGACCGTGGCAGAAATACGCAAAAGTGTTAAGCAGCAGACATAACGACCAATACTACCGACGCATAACTGCCCCCCCCCCCCCCCCCAACGGTCCCGTTATGTTACAGCTGACTTCTACCTCTGTCCCGCCCTCGCCTGCGGGGCCGGTCCCGCGTCACCCAGTCGCCCGTCACCGACCTGACCGTCGCCATGCCGTGGTCTGAGGACACCGTCACGTCCACACAGCCCAGTAAGTCGTGCTCCATCAGCTGACTGTACAGACTGGCCAGCTGGGCGTCTACGCGGTCCACCGCCGCCTTCACCTGCGGTGCAGTCAGGCCCCAGCGGGCTGGGGTCAGCATGGATGTGCCTCTCGGGACAGGGGGGGAGGGCTCCAGACGGCGTACCGCTCGGGACAGGGAGACATACACGACTCAAGGCGGGGTAATTAAACGGGGTGTGACGTTTGTCTCTCCATGACGTATGAGACGAAGAGCACGCAAGAGAAAATATGCATATATATATATATATATATATATATATATATATATATATATATATATCATATGTTTCTTTCCCGTACTGAGACCTACAGCACGCGAAGAAAAAAATCAATATGCACAATCAAAATAAAAGCGCGCACTTTAGTAGTCGCTGCAATACCTACATCACTGAATCAAAATGTGAATGCACACATACATGTACCCAAAACATAACAACCAACCACTTATGCCACCTCGTTGACGTGTCGAGCGTTGTCGATGACGTGCATGAGATCAGGAAAAGAAATTGGACACCGCTGAATTCAAGATGGCCGCCATCGCTTTTTCGCCCGTGACGGGTGGTTGCCTCCACAGCCTGCATCAGTCATGGTCGCCACCAGCGCGTGGCAGCGGCGGGGCACGGGATCTGCAGCGCTATGGCCTGGCCCTTTGCCCATTAATTTATACAACTCATCGCCAAAGAGTAACATTATACTGCCTACTCCACTGACAATCACTGCATAAGACAAGAAAGCATTGATAACATACTTTGTTTGCAAGGATGACATGTTCTTACTGTTCATGTCCAAACGACCGTCGTTCGCTTTGTTTACGCAGACCACTGGTGCGGTGAACAGCGTATGTGTAAAAGTGGGCCGAGCGCAAAAAGAGGGGTTTCTGAGCAGAACTTCTGCTTTCAATTTTCCTCCAGCTACATTTCCCAGAAATATAAAATCGTGATGCACTCTGCTGGGATTGAAAGGTTAAATTTTTAAGTACCGCAGGTGAACGTACAACGGACAAGGGGGCAAAACCAGAGAATCTGTGAGTTACTGGCCAAAACAAGAAACTTGCGCGCTAAACTAAACGGACCAGCAGTCTGCGAAACTACCCCCCCCCCCTCTCTCTCCCCCCTCCCCGGTTTAAGCTACCGAGTGTAACACTGGCCGTACGTTGGCGTAATACGCAGCCAAAAATGCTTCGCAGCTGGTCTGCCTGAGATGGCCTAAAACGACCGAACACGACCAGGTGCTGGTGCTGGTGAGCTCGGCTGCCTGTTTGAGACATGAAAGGCAGGAGCAAACTTTGTGTCAAGTATTACACCTAATATGCATTGATTCTTCTAGCCAACCATCGCACAGAAATGAGATAAGCCAGCTCAGCGGAATTTCCGGCCGAGGACAGAAACGTTTCAAGTTGTGAGTAATGAGCACATGATTAACGCTCAAAAAGCAGCCGCTGTCACCGAATAGACGAAACGGGTAAATGGGTGGTAATTGTAAGAATTTGTGTCACATTCTAAAGGTCGGAATGGTATTCGTCCTCTTCCACTGCTCCAGGGAAACACCAGTAAATACCGAGATCAAACGTTAACAATCTTGGTGAGTGGGTCACATGATGACCGCACACATCTAGTAACTCCGGAGTTAGTGATGTGTACATTCCAAAGGCCTTAATGAGGACTGATCGAAACCAGAGCTGCTTGGACGGTGGCCCCGTACGTACGGAATCGGCACGGTGGCTCAAGAGTGTATCAAGACGCGTCGTCATAGCTTTGCACGGGGTCGATGAACTTCCTAGCAAACCATCTTTAACATGCGCCCAGGTGGCCGGTTGGATACCGTTCGCTCGGGTGGGGGTCAAATTGACCCCCTAATATCTCAGAAACTAAGAGGGCTAGCGATACCAAATTCATGGGGTGTTTTGGCCTGTGCTAGAACTCACTTAGGTCAAAGTTTGTGCCTCGTAGGTTATGACCTTCGGGTCAAATAAGGTAAAAAAAGATCAAACCACAAGTTGGTCTCCAAAGCGTCTCGGGAATCTAGATACCTGTTCTAAGCAAAACGTCACATGCCCATTCAAGGTCAGTGACCTTGTTCAGCCTTTCTTAGGTCATGATGACCAAAATCATAGAAGACTGCTTTGGGTTTTTCACTTGAAAAAGCGACAAATATCAAACAAGGCAATATGTTTCTTAAATGAAATGTTGATCTGGGTTATTTAGGTCAGTGACCTATTCCGACCTATAAAAAGCACATGGAAGATTTCTAATGCCGTTCCTGTCATCAGTACATTCGAAATGAGCATCAGAATCAACCCCACCAGCAAGCCCTAGAGTAATAAAACAGGTTGGTCCTGATCTTGGTTCGACCTTATCTGACCCTAGATCAATGGAATTCGGTCATTCAATTGCTGTCTTGCCTACGAAAGTATCTCAGAGATGTATGGCTTCGTCCAACACTCCGTTGTTCCATCAGATTGAAAAATTCACTCGAAATTGACTTCGCTGAATCCATAGCCTGACTTTGATCTGCCGTAGGTCAGCGACCTTACAAGGTACATTCAATCTGTGATGCCACAAGATCCGCTATTCAATTGTCTACATCTGTGCAAAATTTGGCGCGGCTACGCCGCGTCGTTCGTATACCATTCCGGAAAACCCCTCGGGGGGTAATTTGACCCCCGCCCGAGCGCGTGCTAAGTGCAATGGCACGATCTAAGGCACTGGACATAAGGATGCGATCCCAATCGTTTAAGACAGGTGATATGAGCGATGTTTGGTTACACATTTTAGAACGACCATAACTGGTTTGGTCTTGAGCCAAAATAGCCGGGACTCCTCGCAACTTTTTCGGTCCTTAACATCTGACGCAGATTCAGCAGTATGCACATCTACTGCATATATTACGTTTCGTTCACTGGTACAGGATCTCGCCAGAACTAAGGGAATGCAGCCAACTCCAGCCGGAGAGCAGCTCGCATCGTCGCGTCAAACTAAGGGGTAATTCTACGCCGGAGGACCACAGCGAGAACACGGCCGGCAATTGCCGAGTCAAGCAATGAGTCAAATATGTCCGCCACCCTGTCAACGATTGTGTCATCCAGCAGTCTTCACGGCACCAAGGAAAGGCTCTGTCGCAGACCGTCAAAGTCCACTCGTTTGCAATTAAATATGGCCGCCTCGTGACCGCGGGCGTACGTCAGCAGGTTGGCTCGTCAGCTGAGCATAGCCGGCATAGTCTTGAACAGCACTACGTGGAGAACTTTCTCTGCTCCAGAAAGTTCACACACCCACTGTTTCAGATCTAGCACATTTCACGCTTCAACAAACCTGCATACGAAACGACCCCAATGGCTGAAGGCATCCAGTTGACTGCGAGGAGGTAAATAAAATCACTGACGCTGACGACTCTGCAGTTCGCTGGCCGTAGTGCCGCCAAGTTTGCAGTTTTCCATCGTTGGAGCGTCTGGCTCAGATGAGTCCGCCCGCTGACAGATGCAGCCCGACACCGCCAATGGACGCTGCGTCAGACGACTGACATCCGGCCCCACCCGGCCGCTGGGGCAGTACGTGCCACCGGGTCGGCGAGGGTCTGTCAGTCCCTTTGCCATATATCTCGTCCCTCGCACCCCCCCCCCCCTCTCTGACCTGCTCCGAGTTCGGGCCATAGCTATGACCGCTCTTGTCCGGCTCCTCGAAGTAGAGCGACAGGTAGCGAGGTCGCTTCGGCTCCGGCAGCAGCAGCCAGTCGATGATCTGGGTCACGCGCTGCTCGTACGGCACCTTGCTGTCGTACCGCTTGTAATGCGTCGGCAGACGACCGGGCACCTCAGAGCCCGGCCAGAAGAAGACCGCCGACACACCGCCCTGAAACGACGCCAGGAAATCAGCTCATGTTCTGGGACCGGCACAGAGGCACGGAGGCCGCTCGACGGTTGGATTAATTGCATGCTGAACGTTAGCGTCATCTTGGGCGCTGCGGCTTGGTCTCAACTCGATTTTATTCCACTCTTTCCACGCACCTCCGCCGCCTCATTGTATGTCAGCCATCCAACCCCTAACAGGAATGTGTCCACGGCGAATCATGCCGAAGGTCATCCTTGATGCCCTTTTTACCAGGCATAATAGCTGCGTGCGTCGACCGCCGCACGATAGCTGCGTGCGTCGACCGCCACATGATAGCTGCGCGCGACGACCGCCGCATTGCGCTGCCACGTGTGTCCCCAGGTCACGTGACCAGACGAGAGACTAGGTTCCTGGTCACGTGACCGGGCTGCTGGCGCCGTGCCAAGCGTTGAAGCCGAGCCGAACCCAGCCTGAATGCATGCACGGAAGCGTGGCTCGGCGCTGAATGGCGCGTCTGGTCCGGATACTCCCCCTCCCATGTACAGGACGTGACTGTTGGAGCGGCTGCACTCGTTATCGGACCATGAAATGTCAGTCATCATCACCAGGACTCATCGACTTGGACTGCGAGATAAACGTTGAGACCGGCTGGCCCAGCATTTTATAAATGCATGCATCATGCAAGAATATAAATGCATGTGCATCCCTTTCAGCGCGTAGAACGCATGGTACGAATAGATATTACACATTAAACACGATATCTCAATTATTTATTGTACAGCAGTGTGAAATTGCAACGAGCGCAAAAGTAAATCAGATTTTATGTTCACAAAGTTGTGTGCAGCTGAGAGTAAACTGGAGACAACGAGAAGTGATTACGCTTCGTGAAAATGTGTTGAAAAATGTTATAAAAATGGAGCATTTCGTAACAGCGAACAATGGCAGCAGGCTGCTGTGCTCCGCCAAGTCTGCGGAAGTGTGGTGCGATGAACATACCATCTTCCGCACGGTCTCCCACACCGGCTCGGCACGCCACCAGACGGGCCGCAGGCTCTCTTGCTTGCCCAGCTTGAAGCGGCGGCCAGGCAGCGCCGTGTCGTACATCCTGTTGCCGACGATGCCGTTCGACTCCGGATACATGCCCTGCGGAGGTAGCACGGCGCCGCCTTACATGGTGTGGGAGCGTGCGACTGAGGCGGGGCCTCCCGCGAACTGTTCGACTCCTTCAGCGTCGCAAACATGAGGGAGGCTGAAAACCAGCGGTAACAGCGGGCAGCAATCCGTCTGATGTGCAACCGTTGGTCCATTGTGGCCGTAGTCTACTCTTTATTCGCAGCAGTGGGGGTTTTATGTGCAGTCGCGTTCGCACGCGTGCACCTACATCCACATGCACACCTACATTCACGCGCACATCTGAGCACGGCATTACGCAAGTCAGAGCACACCAATGAACGCCATTCACCGATGTATTCAACATCCACACCCCATCTGGCGAGGTACAGCACTGAGTTGGATACGGGAGGAGCGCAGCGTCCACCAAGCCGTTAGGGTGTCCCGGAACGTCCAGTCACTTGATTCAGCTCTGAACGCACGACCAGGAGTCGGGCCCACTGGGCCTCAAAGGACCCTCAGGGGACCCCCAGGGGATCCCCAGGGGACTACAAGCGGTCGGGTCAACTTTGAGCAGGCATGGTAGGAGCCCAGCGCCCGGATCGTCCCTCCCCGATCCTCTCACCGTGGCGATGCTGTAGTGGTTGGGGAACGTCTTGCTGGGAAATGAGGTGCGGACGTAGGGCGCCGTCACACCGCAGTCCAGCATGTCCTGCAGCATGGGCGACACGCCGAAGTGCAGGTAGTCGTACCGGAATCCGTCCAGCGAGACGACGAGCAGTGGGCGTGGCCCGGCCGGGCACCGGTCCGGGGTGGGCGGGCAGGCGCCGGTCCGCCGCCAGCGCAGCAGCGGCCGGCGCACGGCCGGCTCCGGTGCCTTGCTGCGGCCGCACACCACCGCCAGATGGATCACGACTGCCAGCAGCACCAGCACCAGCAGCCCCAGCAGCTGCGGGGAGCGGCAGTCAGCGGAGTATCAGCGACTGGCGAGGCCTCCACAGGGACCTCGACCTCGAGGGACGACAGAGCTTCGGCGGATGAGGAAAGGCAGGTGGAACGGCGTCAGGGAGGAGGAAAGCAGGTAACGGACGTCATAGGACCGGCGCGGACTGATGCCGGCGCGGAGAGTCTGGCGGGACAGGCAACAACTGCGGACACCAGGGATTGAAGGCGAAAGGCAGCTCGCATCTCAGAATTGGAAGGATTTAGGCAAACCAAAGACGGAACCATGCATAACTTTGAATGGGTTTGTGCCCCTTGTTTAATACTTTAACATGTGGCCTATGAGAGCAACGATATTCCATGCAAAGTGTTACTTATAATCAACTCATTCCTCCACATCACGCAACTGCCATTAACAGCGTCGCTCCTGACGCAGGCCAAGCATTATCGACTGCGGGAGAACAGACACCGGGTAACAGGGGCTGACGAGAGCAAGCAATGCCCGAGTACAGTCAGGGATCTGTTTGACGGGATGTCTAGCCAACTGGATGTGAGCAATGGTGTACTGATCACCACAAACCGGCGCTTCACGCTTACAGCATTAACCGCATCTACGCAAGTGGATCGTTAACAGCGTCTTCCAATCTGTTCGGGCACCAAGGATTGTCGGTAAATGCATTTTAGCATGGAGAGTAAGGCGAGTTTGCTTTAATATCCCTGGCGTGGATACCACAATGAACTGGTTGCCCACATACTGCTATCAATGAGCACACGCCTATGCATTCCAGGTCTTCACAGCGTTCTTCAAGAAGGTGACTTTACTGAGCATGAGTAACCTCACTGTCGCAGTCGTCCTCCACATACCAGCTTGTATGGGTTTGCTGGTTCTGCACTAGGTGTGGCGCAGAAGTGGCCGTTTTTGTGTGCCAATATGTAATACAAAAGTTACCTCTCAAAACAGGGATTCTAATTATAGACTTTGGGAGGTGATGGATTTTGTTTACCCTTACTTTGAAGAGGGATTACGCAGGTTTAATTGCAGCTGTATTACCCAGATATGTGGTACATCAAGCACCACTCGCCACTCAAATGTTTAGAAATGCTATGTTTTTTAGAGAAGAGCGCACGGTTGGAATAACAAAAGCGAACCACTCAACACGCCTGAAACTTATTCCTTACCAGAAACGTCAGGTTTCGTAAGAGCCTTCGCCGCCGTCGAGCTTTGCTTCCGTGGAGTAGGTTCCCGCCTGCTGTCTCTGAAGCTGGCTCAGACACGGCCAGAGATTGACGCGACTCCGTCATCTGCGCGGCAGTGACGTGTGGTGAGGCAAGGCACCCGCTGCAGCTTAACAGTAGCGTGTGGTGAGGCAAGACACCCGACTGCAGCTTAGCAGTAGCGTGTGGTGAGGCGGGACATCAGCTGCAGCTTAGCAGTAGCGTGTGGTGAGGCGGGACATCAGCTGCAGCTTAGCAGTAGCGTGTGGTGAGACAAGACACCCGCTGCAGCTTAACAGTAGCGTGTGGTGAGGCGGGACATCAGCTGCAGCTTAGCAGTAGCGTGAGGTGAGGCAAGACACCCGCTGCAGCTTAGCAGTAGCGTGTGGTGAGGCGGGGCATCAGCTGCAGCTCAGCAGTAACGTGTGGTGAGATGGGACACCAGCTGGAGGGGTGGGGTTGGGGGTGGGGGTGAGGGTCCGGGGGGGGGGGGTAGCAAGTAACCTATTCCCTCCTCATGCTTTGATGTGGCAAGAATCCCTTTTGCTGCTCCATGATTTCAGAGAGTCTAGAAGGGACCCTCGATGTTTGGAAGTAACTCGCTCATTGGTGTGTACCAAGTCAGCGCAGAGGGCCGTCCGGTTCTGGAAAGCGTGCATTTAGGCTCAGAAAAGAACGTCTAGAATCCGGAGAAGGCGCATCTTAGATTGAAAAGGGTCCATTTCAAGACAATAAAACGCCTGTCAGTTTCCGGCAAAAGGAGGGGTCCACTTTCTGTTTTGAGCACCATCCCCATCGCAGACTCGGAAGGGAGCATCGCAGACTCGGAGGGGGGAGGCAATCATCGCAGACTCGAGAGGGACCGTCTCGGATCAGGAAAGGCTGATCGCAAAACTCAGAGAGGGCCACCCTCAAGGTTGGAAAGAGCACATCACCGGCCTGAAAAGACCCCATCTAGGTGCGTAAAAAGTTCGTCACAGGCTCTGAAAGTGGCCCGTTTTGTCTGGAAAAGCTCCACCAAAAACCGAGAGAGGGATCTTATCCGTTCAGTTCAGGGCTCATCCTAGACCAAGAAAGTGAGCATTTCAGGAAAGGAAAAAATTCGACTCATCTCTTAAGCCCGAGAATACCTTATCTCAGATCCGAAAGGTCCCACCTGTCTTGAAAAAAGGCTTTCTCTGATTATACGATGTACCACTTTCAGACATGCGAGAACCGAGGACCAATTCTTAATATGCGAGTGATCAGCGATTTTGGATTTATTGTTATGACGTTCCAGGATCCCCAGCTCCGGAAGCCTTCTCTGCCGCGCGAGATGCCGGTGCCAGCGTGAAGCGCACGGTGGTACCTTCTGCAGCAGCCGTCATCCCGTAAATGAAATGTTGCGTGCCACAACAGGGTACCCAGTGCCCCCACTAAAGCACCTCCAGCACACTTGCGGTCTCATATTAGCTTGAGTCTGTCTCCGGGAGACATGTGGTGGAACTGCTGCCGCTCCAGCAGTCGGTGCTCCCGCAGAGCATTGCCCGGCGGAGCGGCGGTTACCACGGCTTGAGCGGCCCAGGCGTCGTCCGCCGAGACTCACCGTGGCTCGCGACCTGGCCCGTTCCACTTGACCGTGCCGGCCCGCTCGCCTGCCGTCCCTGGCTGCGCCAGCGATCTGACCGTGCGGCACAGTGTTGCTCTGGGAGAGCGCAGCTGCCCGCGACGGCACCTCTTCTCAGCCAATGATCCACGCCTGACAGAGTCGGCCTGCGTACGGGAGCTCGAACTTCCCCGGTCCGCACGCCAGGCCAGACTAATCGGCAGCTTGGCCAGGCCACACTAATCGGCAGCTTGGTCACGAATGAAGCACATTGGTAGCTGCGGCGCGAGTGGCGCTGAGACTGGGGAGGTCAGGGTGCCAACGGCGGCGGAGACTGGGAGGTCAGGGTGCCAACGGCGGGGGAGACTGGGAGGTCAGGATGCCAACGGCGGCGCAGACTGTGGGAGGTCAGGGTGAAAACGGCGGGGGAGACTGGGAGGTCAGGGTGCAAACGGCGCCGCAGACTTCGCGGGATACACGAGTGAGCGCGGCCAGGTGCAGTCAGCTAGAATCGCTATTGAGCTTGAGTGGGGAGCGAAAAATTTAACCACAAAAAGGCCGCAAAGGAGTGAAAAGTTAAATTCACAGTAGCTGGAGCTTATGAGTCAGTGAGAATGCCCTGGCTTACAAGGACATACATATTAATTTGACATGGCATCAACCTTACAAGCATGACAAAAATGTTGTTGTTGTCTCACATCTTCGGTCATTGCACTAAAACATAAGACATAAAAGAAAATGTATCTCGTAATAGTGAGATGAGCACCAAAAGCTTTGTAACACAAATGTGTTGATGCTATGTTTTGCACTTCCTTCCACAGGATTTTTTAAAACATAAAACACGCTCTTGAATCATATTATGTTCCTTTCCTTTTCGCTTTAAAGATCCATCCAAGGCTCCTCCATTGAACCAGTTCAGTTCCCGACAGAAGACAGCCCTGTTTACTCATTCATTGTCATTAAAGATCCTGATATTCCGGGCGCAGATATAACGAAGCCAGTGACCTGTTCCTGACAACCGCAACAAGCTACGGGTTCAGCGGCTTGCAATCACGTCTGACCGGCTGTCCGACTAATCGTTCTATTACATTCGTATAGTGTTGTTGGACGTAAACAGGTCACCTGTGAATTGGTTCCATATCACATAGGATGAGTGGAGCCAAGCACTTCTGGTGCATCGCCTGATCCCAAATGCACGTCCGTCCAGGCATCTGTCAGTGGCCTATACTGAAATTGTACTCTGCGCCTATGTGGCGTGTGCAAATAGGGCAGTGTGGCATCAAGTAAATACGTTCGATATTGTCTGGTAATAAATCGTGATGTGCACTGCAACATTCAATGCTGGTGATTCGTGCATTCCTTTTAATCATACGTTTAAAGTACTTTACTCGGCACGTAGGCCAGGTGGTGGGCGATTGCCGCCCCGTATAGCATATGGTCGTATATGGTCTTATAGTATACCCTCATTTATGAGAGGAAACGTACATGGATGGGCCAGGAGGCGTATTGTGAAAATATATGCTGCGAAGTTTCCCACGTTTTACTTAACAGTGAAAAGCGCATTTCTGGCACAATCGAGACTGCGGATGACCATTCCATGGCAAAGCGTTATAAAAAAACATTTGTATGGATCAGGAATCTCACATTCGTCAAATCATAACTGCACAGAAAAACGCCTATTTGAGGACGGTAACGAATATTTTGTCAACATCACCTCAGAGCGCTACACCGCTATCGCTCTGATACCCTTATTGGCGGTCCCGGGGTGGCTTCGCGGGATCGATGGGGGCAAGGGGTGGTCCCAGCAGGACGGGGCGACACCGTACACTGCTGCAGATACGCTTGTTCCCGCTGAGGGAAGCATGTCCTATATTCCCTTTTTGCTCATATGCATTGAGGGGAGCCAGAGGAGCATTGAGGGGGATAAGTCGGCATGGGGAAGGGGAGGAGGCTCAGACTCCGTAAAGTATATATAGTGACGCCGCTAACATTCATGCTTCATAATCATATATGTATACGCCAACAAGGACAAAGTTTAAAGGTTAGGACAGGTGTACGCCTTTCAAGGTTGGGATCAGGTCACCATGTGTGACATTTCTGCAGTTGCACGTGATGTGGATGACGTGGGCGCAAACACATGCTGACCGACAGGCAGCAGGGGACGAGAGGGAAGACGGTGCTGTATACATCAGTTTTGACACCAGCCAAGTTGACGTTACATGACAGTCACTGTCCAAATGAAGGTTCGTTATTGCGCAAAGGAACATGCGTTCTGAGCATTAACGTCTCATGATTGATTCCGAAGAAGGGGGATGACTGGCCAAACATCCAGCAAGTGAGCTGACTCATGAAAACGTCCGCACGCTATGGAAAAGCCCTGAGCTTCAAAGAATCTTACGCCGTTCCCATAGGGATCAGAGATCGTGGCGAGAAGATGGAGGTGACATCGCGAACAGGTGGTGACAGTGGTGGTGCCAACAATCGTGACGACACTGATGGATGGCACGCTGACATGGTAGTTGCAAGA